TTATTTTGACGAGGGCCGCAGCGGGGGAGCGTATTGGATTGGTGGCCCCAGAACCTATGGTTTCGTGGTTTACATGCTCAAAGACAAAAATACTGAAACAGTTTAAGTGGAAAGAACTGTAGAGGCAGAATATAGCAGCAATTTTGAATTCATTCAATCCACAAAGATGTATTGAGTGCTTCCTATGTGCCCGGCACTGTTGTAGACCTTGGAGACACAGGAGCTGACCAAACAACTCCTGCTCTGTAGGTGCTTCTGTTCTCATAGGGGCAAGGGAGATGAGGGCCACAGATTAACAAATGTCTATAACATGTCAAATGGTGGTACCTGCAAACATAAATAAAGTAGAGGAAGGAGATAGAGAGTGCTGTTTCATATAGGATGCTGAAGGAAGGCCTCTCTGACAAGGTGACATATGAAGGACGTTAGGGAGCATGTGGGGATAAAGAGCATTTCAATCAGAGGAAGCAGCAAATGCAAAGGCCCTGGGGTGGATGAGTAAGGGTGTTCAAAGAACAGCAAGGATGCCTGTGGGGCTGGGACAGAGGGGGTGAGGGGAAGAGTAGTGGGAGATTAAGTCAGAGATGAAGAGTCAGGTCGGAAGATTGTAAGCTATGGTGATAACTTCAGACTTTAGGGCTTCTGATGGGGAGCCTTTGGAGACATATGAGTTTCATTTGCTGTAACAAATTGCCACTCACTTAGTGGCTTAGAGCAGCACAAGTTGGTTGTCTTACGGTGCTGGAGGTCAGACACTCGAAATGGCTCTAATGGAATATACTAGTTGGCTAGGGCTGCCATCATAAAGTACCACAAGTGGGTGACTTAAACAGAGAATTATTGTCTCACATTTCTGGAGAGTAAAAGTCTGAGACCTAGGTGTTGGCAGGCGTGGCTCCTTCCAAGGGCTGTGAGGAAGAATCTGTCCCACGCCTCTCCCCTAGCTTCTGGGGGTTTGCTGGCGATCTCTGGGATTCCTTGGTTTGTTGAGGTACCACCATGATCTTTGCCTTCATCTTCACCTGCTGTTCTGTGTGCATGTCTGTGCCCAAATGTCCCCTTTTTGTATACACACCAGTCACATTGAAATAGGACCTACCCTAATGATATCATTTTACCTTAATTACCTCTATAAAGACTATCTCCAAATAAGGTCATATTCTGAAGTACTGGGGATTAGGACTCCAACATATTTTGGGGGGAGACCCAATTCAACCTGTAACATGGGGCTAAAATCAAAGTGATGGCAGGGCCGCTTTCCTTCTTGGGACTTTAGGGGAGAATCTGCCCCCAGACTTACCCACCTCTTGGAGGTTGGCTGCATCGTTTGGCCCTTTGCCAACAATGGCACCACTCAGCCCTCTCCTTCTGTGTCACATCTCTGACTCTGCACTCCTGCCTCTCTTCTAAGGACCCTTGTGATTACATCAGGAAAGTAAAGGGTAATCTCCCCTTGAATAAATATCAAAATCCTTAATTTAACATCTGCCAAGACCATTTTGCAGTAGAAGGGAATTTATTCATAGGTGCTAGGGATCAAAACAACTGTGAGGGGTCAATATTCTGCCTATTTTAGAGAATTTTAAGCAGAGGAGTAATAGGATCTGCACTGTATTTTAAAAGAATCACTGTTGCCCAAACCGGTTTGGCTCAGTTGATAGAGCATCGGCCTGCGGACTGAAGGGTCCCAGGTTCGATTCTGGTCAAGGGCATGTACCTTGGTTGCGGGCACATCCCCAGTGGGGGGCGTGCAGGAGGCAGCTGATCGATGTTTCTCTCTCATCAATGTTTCTAACTCTCTATCCCTCTCCCTTCTTCTCTGTAAAAAAATCAATAAAATATATTAAAAAAAAAAAAAAGAATCACTGTCTGCCCGAGCCGGTTTGGCTCAGTGGATGGAGCGTTGGCCTGTGGACTGAAGGGTCCCAGGTTCGATTCCAGTCAAGGGCACATGCCCAGATTGTGGGCTCCATCCCGGGTGGGGAGGGGGTGTGTGTATAGGAGGCAGCTGATCGATGATTCTCTCTCATCACTGATGTTTCTATCTCTCTCCTTTCCTTTCTGAAATCAATAAAAATATATTAAAAGAATGACTGTCTGCTGTGTGGAGGAGAATGTGAAGCAGGATACCCATTAGAAGAATGTGGCAATGGTCCCAGTGTGAGACGATGGTCTCTCAGACCAGGGCGGAGGTGCTGAGAAGTGATCAAATTCTAGACTCATTGTGAAGAGCGACTTGCCAATGAAGCACAAGAGAGGTGTAAGATAATAAAGAACTCCACGTTTCTTTTTCAGAATAATTTATTTTTTTTTTGTTTTTCAGAATAACTTATTTTTAAAATAAGCTGTTAAATTATAACTAACATTTGTTTACCAATTTAAAACTTTCAACATGATTTTTCATTAATTTTCTCATTGGAACTTCCTAAAACCTTGTTATATACCATTATTTATTTTTTTAAAATATATTTTTATTGATTTCAGAGAGAAAGGGAGAGGGAGAGAGAGATAGAAACATCAATGATGAGAGAGAATCATTGACCGGCTGCCTCCTGCATGCCCCCTACTGGGGATTGAGCCTGCAACCCAGGCATGTGCCCTTGACGGGAATCTAACCAGGACCCTTCAGTCTGCAGGCCAATGCTCTATCCACTGAGCCAAACCAGGTAGAGTATATATATCATTATTTTTATTCTTATTTTATATATGAGAGAGTTGAAAATTATGGAGGTGACTTCTGGTGATTCAGTTTTTAGTTCATTGGAATTATTTTCTGAAATTGGCTATTTCAATGCTTTGATGATTAGTTAAGTTTATACTGGTGATAAATGGAAACAGATGTTATTTGGTGTCTCCAGTGTATTATAAATAAATTCACTAATCCCAAAGCCAGGGAGATTTCCATATTTAGTATTAATGACGTTTATGATAGTATATATATATATATATATCGATAAGGGGGATATACACACATACACAAAGAGTCTAGAACATCATCTGGAATATGTAAGCCCTATATAATGTTAGCAATCATTATATAATTATTTATGATTTAGACTCAGTACTTCCAAAAGATATTCAAAATGACAATTTAGGAAAAAAAGGCAAAACAAAAGTAGAGGAAATATTTGTATTGCAAGTAGCTAGAAAAAATTAGTTGCTACAGCCAAACATTTAATTTAGTTCTGAGCATCTAGAGAGCTACATCAACACCCCCCCCCCACATTATGTAATAGAGTTCTTGTTGATTTGTAATTGAAATAAAATTAGGTTGTCTGAAGAAACAGAACTTTTCATGGAATGCTAATCACACTTCAATGTGCAGATCTTCACACGAGGGCTTTGAAACATGATTTTTTTGGTCTTTTGTAAAAGCCAAGGGCATGACATTAACTCTGAGTACAGTTAAGTCCTCTATGCACGTGCTAACCCGCATATCCCAGTGCTTACTTTGCACAGCGGCCACCCTCCCTTGTTGCCAAAGTCACTTTTAAAAATGCAAACCTGATCATGTTACTCCCCTGCTTAAAATTCATCCCGGACACTGCCCACAGCAGTGTTTTTCAAGCTTATTTTTAGCGAGAGAACCAGTTCTTCACATTAGAGCTTACATGGAAATCCAGTGGACAAAGATAGAAGCTGGGCTGCTCTGGATGAAGTGTGGCTGGGGGACTGACACCCTGCCTGTCTGGCCCACTGGTTTTCTGCCCTTGTACTCTGTCCCATTCTCTGAACTGTTAGGACATAATCATAGCTCTCAGCATGGCCCAAGAGGCATCCTTTCCACCCTCAGATGTTGCCATACAATCTGGACTTGGGCTGAGCTTAATTAAGAATCAAATTAGTCAACCGAGTTATTATTTTTTAAAAAATATATCTTTATTGATTTCAGAGAGGAAGGGAGAGGGAGGATAGAAACATCAATGATGAGAATCATTGATCAGCTGCCTCCCGCACGCCCCCTACTGGGGATGAAACCCGCAACCCAGGCATGTGCCCTGTCCAGGAAGCGAACCTGCAACCTCTGGGTTCATGGGTCGATGCTCAATCACTAAGCCACATCCGCTGGGCAACCAAGTTATTTTTGAGAATAAGAGTTGTTAAAAAGAATTAACATCGCCTGATTTTTTTCATATTTACTTACTGATCAACAAACTAGTTTTATGTTATTGTTGGACATTTAAAATGATTCCATTACAATTGTTTTTAAGTCTCTTTAAAAATATTAAAGCAGATATATTATCTGAATGTTTAATAACACAAGCATAATAATTATTCTTGAATCATATTACTGTATTTTAATTAGTTTCTTAGTTGGATCTGTCCCTACGTCTATGACTGTTTCTCCTCCTCTCTCTCTTGAGTAAATAATGCATTTTTTCAATATGTTCTAAAGTTTTTATGAAATTGCCTATAACATTCAAAATTGTATTTTATGGTATATAAATTGGAAACATTTGACATTTAATTGCATTTTCTCTGAGGACCCTATTTTATTTATTTATTTGTTAATCCTTGCCTGGAGATATTTTTCCATTGATTTTTTATAGAGTGGAAGGGAGGGTGGGGAGAGAGAGACACATGATTGATTGCCTCATACGTGCCCTTGACCAGAATCAAACCCAGGACCCTTCTGTTATGTGGGCCAAGGCTCTATCCACTGAGCCAAACTGGCCAGGGCTATTTTATTTATTTTTGAAGATGTTGAAAAATGTATTTTTAGAGAGAGTGGAAGGAAAGGGGAGAGAAACATGTGAAAGCTGAAGATCATGGATTGACTGCTTCCTGCATGCTCCCCGCGGGGACCCTGACGGGGAATCGAACCAACCACCTTTCCGCACGGGAGGACGCCCAACCAACTGAGCCGGTCGCCAGGGCATTTACTGATCTTAGTCGCTCGGCTTTATTTGCTGCAGTGACAAACACGTAAGCATCAGACAAAACAAGCCAACCACAAGTGCCCAAGATTCGGGCCCCATGTAAGTGAAACTCCTGCAGGACTAACGGCGGTAGGAAGGATCAGCCCCTCTTCCCAGCCCGGGCTCAGCGGGAAACGGGGGGCCCGAAGCGCTGCAGGGTGCGCACCCCCAGGGAAAGCTGGCTGAGGAAGCTGACCACGGAGGCCCGTAGGAGGCGAGGGTCTTCGGCCGCCCAGCTGACCGCCAGGACGCTGCCGCGCACCGCGAGCTCCCGCCCAACCGCCCCTCCGCGAGGCTCCGAGTCTGGGGCCAGGGGCCCGCGGGCGATGTCTGCCTCCGAGGAGGACGGGAAAGGCACCCGGAGGGAGAATGTATGCGGCCGATTTCCGGGCGCTCGGGCCGCGAGGACAGCGTCTCCGCCCCGCCCCGCCGTGCGCTGGGGTCGCGCAAAGCTCCGAGCTCCGCCGGCTGCAGCGCCCGCTCCGCGCGGGCTGCCATCTCGGCCCCCACGAGGCTCCGGTGAGGCCCGCGTCTGCAGCCCACATGCCGCGTCTGCCGCTCGCGTGTCCGACGAGCTCCGCCTTCGACCCCGCCCCCGAGCCGGATCCCACCACCGCGCTCTCCACGACCAATGAGGAGCTGCGGTTCGTTCAGAAGCTCCGCCCCTTCGCGCCGACCCCGCCCCTCGGGCTTGCGCCACCGCCAGGGGTGTGGTGGCTTCCTTCCAGCTCTGGGGGCCTCATTCTAAAGAGAATACGGTATATCCTCTTTGAAGTACTTCATAATCTCAGAGCAAACTCTGCTAAGTGGAGGATACTTTTAATTCTATTTTTTTGTATTTTCGAAGGAGAAACAATTTTAGCCCACATATTTTTTCTTGGACTCAGTTTACCTTTCTTTGATATGTAGTTTTGTAAGACAAACTCATCAAGAAAGTTGTGTTTTTTTATGTTTATTTAAAACATTTCACCAAATTTAAATGTTGTAAAAGCGTAGGCTTCTTGAGTAAACCACTCCATTCGGGAACAGCATGCCTGTTTATCCAATTAAAATAGGAGTTCCATCAAAAGATTTTTCCCAAGTGGAGATATTTCAAATGTAATGCAGCGGGTCTCAACCTGTGGGTCGAGACCCCTTTGGGGGTCAAACGACCCTTTCACAGGGGTCGCCTAAATACATCCTGCATATCAGATATTTACATTACGATTCATAACAGTAGCAACATTACAGTTATGAAGTAGCAACGAAAATAATTTTATGGTTGGGTGTCACCACAACATGAACTGTATTAAAGGGTTGTGGTATTAGGAAGGTTGAGAACCACTGAATTATAGAATTTCAAAATTCTGTATATCATTTTTTAAACTATTGTTGTTACATTTGTTCACTTCCTTGCTTTCATAGGGACATATTTCATTGCTTCTCTGTTTATAAACTTTATTCAATAACCTTAATTCCCTGAAACTTTTCACAAGCTGAAGCTTTTTGGTCCTCCATTTGTTGAATGCCCTGATTAAAGATTCCAATACTTTTTAATAAAATGCAACCAAATATAGAGAATTTGTTTACCAAAAAAGTTTTTCTACAATGAGATCCCACCTCACACCTATCATAATGGCTATCTATATATATAAAAGCCCAGTGACTGGAACGGCAGAATGACCAGAATGACTGGTGGCTATGACGTGCACTGTGGCAGCCAATGAGTCTGATCTGGGCCCTGATCACCACTCCTACCAGCTAGCCTGGCTGGATAGACCCCCATCAGGGCGGGCCGGCCGGACCCCACCCGGGCACAAATTTGTGCACTGGGCCTCTATTTATCAATAAATCCACAAACAATAAGTGTTGGCAAGGATGTGGAGAAAAGGGAATTCCAGTGTGCTGTTGATGGGAATGCAGATTGATGCAACCACTATGGAAAACAGTGTGGAGGTTCCTAAAAAATTAAAAATGAAGCTGCCTTATGACCCAGTGATTCCACTTCTGCTAATTTCCCTGAAGAAACCCAAAACATTAATTCAAAAGAATATATGTACCCCTATGTTCATTACGCCGTTATTTACAATAGTCAAGATATGGAAGCCACCCAAGTGCCCATCAATAGATGAGTGGGCAAAAAAGCTGTGCCTTTCCCCATCCCTTTCCCCAGGCGAGGTTTTCTTGCCTTCTCTCTCCTAAGCTCCAAGGACCCTTCTTTTTCTTCTGTAACTTGTTTCCTGAGCCTGTTTCTTCTACTGCTCACTTCTACCTCTGTGACTTTCTAAAGAAACTTTCTATTACAGTTTGAAAACAACAACAACAACAACAACAACAACAACAACAACAAGAAAGCTATGGTGCTTCACAATGGAATACTACCCAGCCATAAAAAAGAAGGAGACCTTACCTTATGTGACATCATGGACGGACCCAAAGGATATTACACTAAGTGAAATAAGCCAAAGACGAATACCATATGATTTTTCTTATATGTGGAATCTAAAGAACAGAATAAACAAAAGAGAAACAAACTCATAGGTGCGGAGAACAGACCCATGGTTTTCGGGGGTGGGGGGGTGGGGAAGGATTTGAGGAGGGCTGTATGAAAAAGGTGAAGGGTTAAGGAGTACAAATTGGCATTTACAGAATAGTAATGGAGATGTAGATTACAGGATAGGGAATACAGTCAATAATACCATGATAACTAGGTAGGGGGCCAGGTGGGTACTTGAAGCAGCAGGGGGAGCACTCTGTAAAGTACACGATTTTCTAACCACTTTGCTGTACTCCTGAAACTAATACAGAATAATATTGAATGTAAATTGTAATTTGAAAATTTAAAAAAGTCTAATACCAATGTCGGTTGCTTAGGTTGATTTAAAAAGTAATTTATTTAAAGAATTAAGCATTTTTTTATACAGTATTGTTTTTTTTAAAATATATTTTTATTGATTTCAAAGAGGAAGGGAGAGGGAGAGAGAGATAGAAACATCAATTATGGGAGGGGGGTTCTCTCTTCCCGCGACCAGCGCAGTGAGAGAGAACGTGGAGGTTGATGAAAATCTTGTGTAGAACGCGATGAGGTTTAAGGAAAATGAATAAAACAAGACTGAGACAGAAAGAGAGGAAAGCTGGGACCGGGTGTGGTGTCTGCCCTCTGATGGAGGGACAGAACGACGGCTAACACGGAAAGTAAAGTTTAATAAATACTTGAATGACAGGAAGTTACATCACATCTGAGTGGGCCTTGAGTTCCTGGTGACATCATGAGATCCATTCCCTTAACACTGGGTGGGAAGGTCAAACTGAGTGGCGTCCCAGTCTCTTGACCAGGCCCGCCCTTAGGGCATGGCTCTGCCTTCGCTCTGAGTTTCAGCCGACATATTTAAAGATGCCAGAGTGTTTACTAGTGGCCCTTAACAATCAATGATGAGAGAGAATCATTGATTGGCTGCTTCCTGCATGCCCCCCACTGGGGATCGAGCCCGAAACCCGGGCATGTGCCCTTGACGGAACCAGGGATCCTTCAGTCTGCAGCTTGATGCTCTATCTAACGAGCCAAACTGGTCAGGGGAAGAATTAGGCATTTTAAAAGTCCAATTGATAATAGGCAGCAAAGAGAAACACAGTGTTTTGCTGAAATACTGTTTTTATCTAGCAGCAGCTTTATTGCAACAATTTTCTAGTTCAGATATTTTGATTATGTACCTATATAAAAGATGTGAAAATCACTCTCTTTTGATTAGCAGATTATTAAACCTTATTTTGGACAGGTTTAAATATTGTGTATGAATTGCATATGCCCCATGGATTTCTTTTTATTATTATTATTATTCTTTTTTTTATTGCTAAAAGTATTACAAAGGGTATTACATATGTGTCCTTTCCCCCCCCCCCCCTTGACAGTCCCCTGGCCTGCCTCCCCTACCCCCCAGTGTCTTATGTCCATTGGTTATGCTTATATGCATGCATACAAGTCCTTTGGTTGATCTCTTACCCACCTCCCTCCTGCCCCCCAACCCTCCCCGGCCTTCCCGCTGCAGTTTGACAATCTGTTTGAGGCAGCTCTGCCTCTGTATCTATTATTGTTCAAAAGTTTATAATGGTCTCTATTATCCATGAATGAGTGAGATCATGTGGTATTTTTCCTTCATTGACTGGCTTATTTCACTTAGCATAATGCTCTCCAGTTCCATCCATGCTGTTGCAAATGGTAAGAGTTCCTTCTTTTTTACAGCAGCATAGTATTCCATCGTGTAGATGTACCACAGTTTTCTAATCCATTCGTCTACTGATGGGCACTTAGGCTGTTTCCAGATCTTAGCTATGGTGAATTGTGCTGCTATGAACATATGGGTGCATATATCCTTTCTGATTGGTGTTTCTGGTTTCTTGGGATATATTCCTAGAAGTGGAACCACAGGGTCAAATGGGAGTTCCATTTTTAGTTTTTTGAGGAAACTCCATACTGTCTTCCATAGTGGCTGCACCAGTCTGCATTCCCACCAGCAGTGCACGAGTGTTCCTTTTTCTCCACATCCTCTCCAGCACTTGTCGTTTGTTGATTTGTTGATGATAGCCAGTCTGACAGGTGTAAGATGGTACCTCATTGTTGTTTTGATTTGTATCTCTCTGATGATTAGTGACTTTGAGCATGTTTTCATGTGTCTCTTGGCTTTCTGAATGTCCTCTTTTGAAAGGTGTCTTTTTAGGTCCTTTGCCCATTTTTTGATTGGATTGTTTATCTTCCTTTTGTTAAGTTGTATGAGTTCCCTATAAATTTTGGAGATTAGGCCCTTATCAGATATGATATTGGCAAGTATGTTTTCCCACGCAGTGGGTTTTCTCGTTGTTTTGTTGATGGTTTCTTTTGCTGTGCAGAAGCTTTTTATTTTGATGTAGTCCCATTTGTTCATTTTCTCTTTAGTTTCAAGTGCCCTGGATTTCTTAATTTAGTAAATATTGACTTTAGATTTTTGGCCTCCAGAACTGTCAGAGAATAAATTTCGGTTGTCTTAGGTCACCAACTTTGTGGTAATTTGTTACAGCAGCCCCAGGAAACAAATACATATACCTTTACAACAGTACTTATCACATGTAACTATAGGGTCTCCTGCACTACACCATGCACTTCTTAATGACAGCTTATTTGTCTTTATAGTTCTAGCTTTCAGCAAAGTGCTTGGAATAGACGTTCAATTTTTGGTTGAATGCGTAAATGGTGTTAATGCTTTAGGTTTTCATTTTTTATAGTGTAAGGACTTGGAAAAGTATAAATATATACTTGAATAAGTATAAATCTATTACATTAAATTAAAATTAATGCAAGTCGCAAGCCTCTGTTTTTACTGGATAATGGAAAACTCCGTCTTTCCAATTCAAGTTTCTGCTCTGATTTAAGACTCCGTCTCTTTCAGAATTCTCTGCCCTTTCCCTCAGAGGTACCTCAGGTGGCCCAAGTTCTTAGAGGATTGCTATAGACATTATGTCTGTGTCTCCACAACATTCCTATGTTGAAATCTAATTCTCGAGGTGATGGTGTTAGGAGGTGAGGGTCTGTGGGAGGTGATTAGACTATGAGGATGGAACCCTCATGAGTGGGATTAATGTGCTTATAGAAGAGACACCAGAGGGCTCGTCCACCCCTCTACCTTGAGTGGACACAGTGAGAAGCCCATCTTAGGAAACACGTCCTCACTAGACACTGAATCTGTTGGCACCTTGGTCTTGGACTTCGCAGCCTCCAGAACTGTGAGAAATAA